GGATTCATTAAATCTAGGTGCCGCGCGGTTGAACCTCAATTTTGATTGGCCAACGGCTGTGATCGACAAAATTTTGGCCGCATTATGGCCGGAGTTTAATTTTTTAATTGTTTAAGGTTTGGGTCTGCGTAATGGTAAAATTAATCCAGGAACATATTTCAGATGGGATGGAGAGATAAATTATATTTATTGATTAGTATATCTTACGATCATAAGATCATTCATTCACAAGGTATAAGTCACCGAGATTTACATAGTCGTAATATTTTACAAGATAATTTACATAGCGCGTATATCGCGTACTTGAGTCTCTCGATTCGGTATTTGAAACAAAATGATGGTCGAATTTGAAGTTTTGAACGGAGACCGATATATTATATCTTCTGATATCTATATCTTCTGATATTTATTCACTTGGGATAGTTATGTGGGAAACTTAGTATGGAAAATTTGTTTCATATAAATTTAATTTAAGTAAAACCGAACTTCAATTAAAAATATGTTATAAAAATTTACGACCATTTGTTAACAAAGAAGCGTCGCAATGTTATGTGGAATTGATGAAACGATGTTGGGACAAGAAGGAGATTGTTAATGGGTAACAAAATGATAAGAAAAATTTTTCGGAATTGAATGATTCTGAAATAATACTTGAAAATTTAGAAAAATCGTATGTAGATATTCACGGTGGCGCACGAATTCAATTTCGAATGTAGATAATGAATTGTCAAAATTAGAAATTGATAAATTTTTTTTGTATTTATTTTTTTTTTTATAAAAGAAAATTTAAATAATTAAGATAAATATAAAATGAAAACTATGTTTATACATTATATATTAATTATTTTGAACTTCTGAAAAGAATTTTTACTCAATGATCTTAATGATTGATTATTTTAAAAATATTTCATTGAACAAATAATTTGATCTTTACAAGAATTTTTAAATTGGAAATCAGCAAATGGTGAAAAGATGTAATTATTTGGATGATACTTGGGAATATGCTTATTTTAGAACTATCTTATAATAAAAATAGTATCTTCAAAAGAGGTTTTTATTTCTCGGATTTTCTAGAATACATCGGAAACATGTGGATACCAAATATCTACTCTAAATGTAAAGGAGACGTTATTAAGTTTATATTTTTGATATATAGTGATAGTAATTGGAGTAACTGTATAAGTACAACAGCATATATAGACTAGACATCAGCCTTCAAAATTTTGGAGAGTTAATTTAGATAATAACGATAAAAGTTTTCGTACATTATGTTCAAGGAAAAGGATGGTTTTTGAAAGGTTTAATTTATTTCCTGAGGTTTACTTTCCAAGTGATTAATAATTATCACCTTTTGTATGATTTACGTACATACGTGCGCACTTACGTGACCAAATTTACGTCTTAATTTGATATCTAACAGCTATTGATGTTTAATGCATTCAATGTCTATACATTAAAATCGGTCGGTTATACACAACGATGACCTTTTTAAACGCCGATGTATTGTGTTAACAGAAACTCCACAGAACATGACCATCGCATGACGAACACCAAGATGTCCCTATGAGATGACTTCATGGAGATGAATTTAGAGTTCAGCATAATGATGCCTTTAAATTTTTTTTTATTTAATACGATAATTGTTAATATAATAAGTGTTCTCTGAAATTTTCTTTATGAAAAGTTTTTTTGCGCGAGATATAACTTGCACTAGGATGACATTAGTATCTTACGCGAGGGCATATCTCTTCATTTATGATGAAAATGCCATTAATTGTATGAAGAAAAAAAATTTTCATTCATTCTTTAAATTATATGCACCTGCTGATTTATTTGAAAATAATAAATACTTTAGTGTTTAAATAACAAATACAGAGTGAATATTACAGTACCAGTCTAACTCTATGATTGTTGTTATGTACACGTTATGCCATAATTAGTGATGTGAATTTTTCAAACAACTAAGTTTCCTAACGATAGCAATCAACTCACATCACTAATCATAATACATTTCGATTAGAGCTTAGGATGATTAAATTAGCGTGAAAGAATTCCTTCTCTCAAACATTCATTTCATGTCGCCTTTACACATTATATAATATTATAATAATTATATTATTCCATTTTAATAGGAATTAATTGTTTTCTATTATACAGATACACTACATATAACTAAACCATTGTAGAACTATCACTAGGCATAAATGAGCGTTAATATTCACTTTGTAAGAACTTAACCTGCATATTATTAATACAAAGTGTTTTTGTACATGTTGAAAAATTCTTTTTAAGTTGTAAACTCACTACACTGCTACATATTATTCCTAGTCTTTATTCTGGTGCTATATATGGAAGTTTGTTAAAAGCCTTGTATTTTATTATATTGTTCACGTGATTTTTAATTTAACAATCAATTCATAAAACTAAAAGACTTAAATCAACCTTCGTTTTCATAAATTCTAGGACAACTGAAAAATTTTCTGGTAAACAGTCGATAAGTTACAGAGTTGGAATCAATAAGTCACCGACGTCGGCTGAAATCAGAAATTAATCGATTATTCGTCCCAAAATTTATGATACGTATTTGATATGCAAATTTGTATTCATATTATCTCGTGATTATGGTGACACTTTATCTAAATGATACACAAGCCTAATGGCCAATCATGTATTTACGTATGTACTGTACATACAGTACGCACGTAGGAAGTACCTAATACGTTATCTTAAAAAAATTTTTTTTTAAAAGGAAATGTCTCAAATATTTCAAAATGGAAGTAGCGAATCTCCTTCGCTAATAACTCCAATATCAACTACTTTATCAACTACTTCAGAAAAATCTATAGATTTTTCTTCATTTTTAGCAAAAGAATTTAATGTTAAAGCATGGATAAATGACGCTCTTTCTTGTGCAAATTTAAATTCTTCCCCAACTTCAAATTCTTCAAATTCGACTTCCACTGATAATAATATTGATAATAAATCTACTCATGATATTTCATCCATTAATGAATTACAATCATTAGAATTTCATTCGGCTGCTTTGGTAGAAAAACTTCAATTTTTAAATCAAGAAATTTCTCTTCGTTTAGAAAAAACTATCGATGATGTGGTTAAAGGAATTCCAAATATTATGTCCGATCTTCAAATAATGTCTCAAGATGTTGTTAACCTAAAACAAGGTGTTCTTCATGTAAAATCTAATCTTACCACTATCGATGAAAATTCTGGTAAAGCTTTGGAACGTTTGAAATATCTTGATTTGGTTAAATCTCGTATGGAAAGTTCTAGAGATTTATTAAGAGAAGCTGAAAATTGGAATAATTTAGAATCTGAAGCTAGTACTATTTTTGCTTCTCAAGATTATCAAAAAGCTAGTATGAGATTACAAGATGCTGAAAAAAGTTTGGTAATATTTCAAAATACTCCTGAATATGATGAAAGAAGAAAATTGTTAACTGAACTTCAAAATCAACTTGAAGCTACTGTTAGTCCTCAATTGGTTGCTGCTTTAAGTCAACATGATACTAGTGCTTGTCAAAAATTTTATATTATTTTCTGTCAAATTGGAAGGAAAAAAGAATTTTGTAATTATTATTATGGTTCAAGGAAAGCTCCTCTCGTTAAAATGTGGCAAAATGTTGCTTTAATTGAAGATAATCAATCTCAATTATTTCATTCATCCCATTCACCTCATTCTTCTCAATCTTTTAATTCAACTTCTGTTGTCTCTCCTACTGTAACCGCTTTTCAACAAGATCAACAACCTTTATCTCCTTCTCTTCCTCAATTTAGAAAAAAATTTGTTGATTTTTTAAAAGAATTTTTACAAGAATTATTCGTCATTTTAAATGAAGAATATACTTGGTGTGGTAATGTATTTCCTGATAATAATGAAACTTTAGTAGCCTTAATTGAAAACATTTTTAATTCCTTGAAACCTTCTTTGGGTGCTAGATTAGCTATGTTAGTTAATTATTATAATGAACAATGTTTACCCGAAATTATTAATGCTTTTATGATAACTGAAAATTTTGGTAGACAAATGGAAAGAGTTTTATTTAATCCTATTCAAATTGGTTCTGCTATTGGTCGTATTACAACTTCTTCAGGTTCAATTCTTACTTCAAAACCTTTTTCAAAAGGTGGAAGTTTATCTAATTGGGGTAATGTTATTTTTGAACCTTTTTCTGAATATCAACATGATTATTCAGAATTCGAAAAAAATTTTTTACTTAGTGAACTTAAAAGAATTCTTCAAATAAATCGTGATTCTACTTCAATTGATTTGGCTCGTATTATGGTTGAAAATATTGGCAAAATTTTTTCTATGGCTGATGATGCTTTACAACGATGTATGACTCTTACTCATGGTTTTGCTGGTATTGGTTTAGTTGATGCTTTAAATCATTATTTCATTTCTTTTGTTAAAGAATATCAACAATTATTGGTTCGTTTAAGAATTGATTGTGGTTTGAATAATTTAAATTCTAATCATGATTTCATTACAATTACTCAAAAAAATTCTAATTTAAATGATTATTTGGATTTTGATCAAGATAAATTACAACAAGAAGATTGGTCTAATTTTCAAATTGGTTTAAGATCTTTGGCTACTTGTAAATTGGCTTTTGATAAGTTACACTCTTTCGAAGATTCTTTAAGGTTAACTTTGATTAGTGTTAAAGAATTAATCGATCAAGATTTAGGTAATGAAGATTTGGAATGGTATGAAAGAAGATCTAATCTTTCAATTAATGATTCAATGGGTTTAAATTCTATCGGAACTCAATCTTCTATATTATTATTAAAGCAATCATTACTTAATAGTTATCAATTAGTTTCATTACTTCCAAATATTGAATCAAATTCCACTGATTCAAAATTATTATCTTCTGCTCAAAAATCAATAGAAACTTTTATAAGGCAATCTCAACGTTTCGTTTTTGATACTATATTTTTACCTATAGTAAATCATCTTTCTAATTTACCTATGATGGAAATTTGGTGTGCCGCTGCTGAACCTGTTCAAGTCTCTCCATTTAATTTAGAGATACCTACTTTTTCATTGAGTCCAAGTGAATATATTACAAGAATTGGTGAACATTTATTAACATTACCACAACAATTTGAAGTTTATGCCGATGATGAAAGTTTGGCTTTTAGTATAAAATCATTACCTTTTTGTGATGAAGTTGAAGGAAAAGATGATAATATTAGTGTTACTGGAAAGAAAGATGAAAATACTTTGTCTAATGTACAAGGTTCAGAGGTTAATGAAATTAATTCAAAAACTTCTACATTATCTTCAGTTAAGATTGCGAGTGAGAGTACTGTTTCACTTGTTGATCCTTCTATCGTTCAACAACCACAACCCACAAATGAGGAAATTTCAACTGAAGAAGTAACACATGCTTGGATAACTTCCGTTGCTAGAGGAACAATGCACGCATTATTTGAACGGATTCTTATGATACCTCAATTATCATCACATGGTACTCGACAGTTGTTAACAGATCTTGGATATTTAACAAATGTTTTGAGTGCCTTAGAAATTGAACCTACAAGGGAGATTATAAAAACTATTAAAGTCTTGGAAATGGATGAGGATAGTGTAGTTAACGCTTTAAGAGCAAAAACGGGAAGTATTGGTCAAAGTCCGATTAATGATTTTGAAGACGTAAAAGATAATGAAATTTTGGATAAAGTTGCAAGCGTTAGAGGAATTAGATTATTAGATCTAGGTTTTTAATAAATAATTGCTGTGATTAAGAATGTCAATAATCAAGACTGTTACTGTTCGATCATAGTTTTGATTGATCTAATAGCAATATAATAGATCTAGCAAATTAGAATGAAATTTTTTGCCTTATCTAATTAGAAATTTATACGTAATAAAATTATCTGGAATGCATTTTTAGTTAGAACTTTAGGATTAAAATTTTTAATAGAAAAAATAGATGCGCGTTTTAAAATCTCAATTTTACTTTAATCTGACTTTTAGTTATAAACCGTTTTTTAATGTACCTCAAAAAAAAAAGAATTCAATTTAAATAAAAAGTATACGTATACAGTCAGACCTCTCTAAACGCATAGCCGTGGAGCGGCCAAAAAATCTTATTTAAAGAGGTATTGCATTTAGGGAGGTAAAAAATCTATAAGTGTCATACGAGCTGGGGACAAGATAGACCATGCATTTAGAGAGGTCTTTCATTGTCATACGAGTTGGGAACAAGCAAGACCATGCAGTTAGAGAGGTCTTTCATGGACTATGCATTTAGGGAGGTCTGACTGTATTAAAATTTTTAAAATCTTATACGTTTAATATTAAAAAGTTACAAGATTTAAAAGATTTATTTACAAGTAATTAAAAAATCATTAATCCAAACTTGACCAATTCTTTATTATCTTTTTTTTAAGTTAAAAATCTAATTTTCTCAAAGTAATTACGCAGAAATTTACATATAAAATTTAGTATGTTAATTTATTTGATCAATAATTAACCGAACTATTGGAAAACGTCTTATTATGCACCTATGGTGATTTGGCACCTATCATGTTTTTATTATGTTTTACAGATATTTCAAAGGTTTGTATATAAAATTTTTAACGCAAAATTTTTCACATTAGGGTTAGAATTAATAAAACACCTAGATCGATTAATAGCTAGTTGAAGATAACGTGTAAAACACCGTGCGTTTTAGTAAAAAGTCTTTTAATTTTATCAAATAAAAAGTAATGATATTCTAAGAAAATAATCAATGATTTTTTAATTTAAACCGTGAAACTCTAGTGCTAATTAAAACTTAAAGATCGTAATCTGCGAAAACCATATCAGATATAAATAAATTTTATCGTGTAAATACATAACAGTAATGCGCGTACTAATTTTGCCTTCATTTTCCTGCATTGCCTGTTAGAGACAACATTAGGAGATTCTATATACCTTTACAACAAGACGTATATTACCTACTTTATAGACTTTATCTACTGTAGCGACCACCCATAGTACGAAATTCTAATAAAGACGCGTAACAACACAGTTATATAATTGGCTAAATTTAGACAGTGTATAGTATTTATTCAGTTATATCGTTAATTTTTTTAATCAAATAAACAAATTTAAATGATCGAAATAATGAGCATAAAACTAGAATCAAAACACCATATAGCTCATTTTGATTTTTATTTTAATGACATGAACAAATCAATAAAAATAAATGCTCTGAATAAATAATAAAAACAATAGAATGCGAGAAGCATTTAATGGATTTTAAGAAGTTCAACATCACTAAGATTTTTTTTAAAAAAAAAGAAAAAAACATGAATGAACTGTATTTGTTAGATAATCAAACCTATAAATTTTCAACTTACAATTTCAAGGTAGCATTACCAGGAATCTTTGGATAAAATGTTAAATTTAGAATAATGTAATAATATAATAAATAACGAAATAAAATATAATAAATGATATAATAAATGATAGATTTGGATTTGTTTACTTACAATTGGAGGATAGCCCTTTGATCCATAACCATAATCGGGAGTGATTGTAAATATAGCTCTTTGACCGATACTAAGCTGAGGAACACCTGTTAAAGAAATAGAGGTAAATTCAATGGCAATAATAAATTTGGAAAATAGTAATGGGATTGGGAACAATAACTTTAATCGATTAATGATCATTAAAATTAATTGATTTCAATAACCATAAATAGAGGTCTGAACCGGTTGTAATATAAAGCCGATTATTTAAGTTAATTACTTTGCTCACGTGAAATTTTAGCATTTCTTCAATTCAATCAATTCACAATAAAATATAATACTTCGTAACATGCTAGAAATAATCCCGATTTAAGTTTAAAAACCGGGTTGTCTGAATTTTACAACCGGATTAAGGTATTATAAAACCGATTTAATATTAAATCGGGTTACTCCGAATTTTATTAATCGGTTCTGACCTCTAACTTCTATAAATGCACACACAATGTATACACTTATAAAGTTTAATTGTTGGGAACGATATCCAACATCAATTAATATTTACTCAATCAGTTAAATCAAATATAATTAATCGATTCCAACCCTTCAAAACAAAACTGACAACTTGCCTTCATCCCAGCCTAATATTTATTTTTTTAAAAAAAGGAAAGGCACAATGACTTAATAAATCGTAATAATAATATATAATAATAAGGGAATTGGTATTCGTACCCTTACCCCTCATATTTGGATTCACACCTATCAAAATTAAACCTTTTTAAAGCTTTGAATGAAGATATCTCGATAACCACCTGACCAATTCGATGAAATTTTTTATTTTGAACTCTACAAATCTGTAAATTTCACCTAAAATTTTTTCATCGAATTTGGTCAGGTAATTATCGAAATATCTTCGTTCAAAGTTTTAGAAAAGATCAAATTATCAAAACAAAGTTGCGTCAAATTTTTTCTAAATCTTTGAACGGAGATATCTCGACAATTGCTTGATAAAATTCAATGAAAATTTTTTTTATTAAATTCCATGCTTCTGTAGAATCAAATAAAAAATTTTTCATCAAATTTGGTTAGATAATTGTTAAGATATCTTCGATCAAAATTTTAGAAAAATTTTGACGCAGTTTAGTTTTTCTAAAGCTTTTAACGAAGATATCTCAATAACTATCTGATCAAAATCGGTAAATATATATATATATATATATATATTGAACTCTACAGATTTGTAGAATTCAATAAAAAAAAATTTTATTAAATCTGATCGTATAGTTATCGAGATATCGTCGTTCAAAGTTTTAGGAATTTTTAATTTTTATGAGGGGTATGAATACCAAAAGTAGGAGGTACGAATACCAACTTCCTGATAACAATAATAATAATAGTTTATATCACCTTTAATTACTTTGCCAACACCAATTTTACACTTGAATGGTTCGTTTCGATCCCTGGAGCTGTCAAATTTTTTACCATCTAGGAACGTGCCAACATCTAAATTCATCAAATGTTAACAAAAAATCTATAAAATTTAAAGACATAAACAGAGTATAGAATAGTTACAATGTATTGAAACAGTATCTCCCTATGTAAAAAGAATAAGAATTAATAATGGTTTGTGATGAATTCATGTTCTTCAGTTGTTCAAGGCAAGTACATACCCTCTTTGGGTAGTTCTATAATTTCAAAGAACACAAACGTAAGTATCGCCAAAAAAAAGCAATATTCATTACATCAAAAAATCTTCGAGCTTACCACACAATCTCCCTCCTGAACAAAAAGATTATTATTTAATCACATATATGTATTTATATATAGGATTTATTATTTTAACAAACAAACCTGGATAGTTGTGATTTCAACGCCCTATTTTTTATTTAAAAAAAATTAATTTTGAAGTCAATACTAAAGGCCAAATTTACCAAATTGCCAAGTTATATAAGTTAGGCAGCTACATTTAATAGACAATCTAACTTATGTGTGTCGAGATTTTACTGTTCTAAGGTGTTGCTATTTCATAATGACCAGGACAAATTAAAGTTTATTGCTCATAAAATCACTTTTGTCTCAACCAATTTATGTTTTAAGGATTTATAGGCAGTAAATTTTAAGTTGACCGTTTCTTTAGTAAGAATAATTACCATGATTAATATCGATACTACTAGTCGACAGAAGATGGAAGAAGGTAGGTACGTACTGTACGTACGTACGGGCTTACGTACTTTGATCAGCATAGCGGGCTTTAATTTGATTGGATGATATGCCGAAATGTTTACATAGCATCTACGTAAGCTGAAGATGATCTTGTGAAATGGTACACAACATGAAAGAATTTTTTTCATCTGTATTCCTTTCATAAATGTAGAATTTTCTTTGAAGTTATATTAAAGTTTTACCGAACCAATGCAATAATAAAGTAAAAATTGTAAAAGGTTTATGTTTTTTTTTTAATGTTAAGGCGAGTACTTGTGACCCAGGAGTTTATTGGTAATATGTCAGCATATAACTATTGTATACAACAGTTACAGAGGCAATTATGAAAAGAGTGTACAACTAATCACTTATACAATTTTAATTATTGTTTATTTTAAGTAGTTTGCTTGAAGGTTTTACATTAGTTGCCATACTTAGAACCTGTCTGTAGGTTCTCTATTTAACATTTTAGTTCCTATATTTATCTTTACCTTATCAATTGCAGATTAACTGCAAATATGTTATACTAAGTCATATTTAATTTTGTATTAAGTTCATCAGAGTTTTCTGTATTTCATACTTAAAAGTTAATTTAGTACTATTTCAATCTAGATTATTATTTGCAATTAGGATTAATCATTAAACCACAATATCTTTGTAAAGTTTACTAGAATCTTTTTTTTTTTTTTTTTATTAAATAATGCTCAAGTAGAAACTTTATTATATATAAAAACATAAGTTCTAAATTTAAA